TCCCGCCTCCGTGCGATCTTCAACGTCCACACTGCGTGGCCATGGCAGCCCTGTTGACTTCACACTAGGACTTTCTCTCGATCTTAAAGCGCCAAACGGCAAAACATATCACCGAAGGACTGGTTGGCTCGCAGCTAGTCCGTCCTTTGCTTCTTCCAGGCTGAAGGGCAGCTTGGGCCAAAGGCAGAAAAAAAGGAACTTGCACGGTGCTGCAAGACCCAGCCACAGCCTTCGTTTATGGAGCGCCTGGAGGCGGATTGCTGATTGCACAAGGGATCAACAACTCATGGTGGAACCCGCGTGGCATCTCAGCAAGCTCCCTCGTGGCAGATCAATGCCCCATATGAAGCGCTAAGACTTTGCCAAGCAGCTGAGATATCAATGCTATGCAGGACATATGCCTCTCCTAGGGCGCAGCTGTTCCAGGCCGTTGGAAGTCATTGTCTAGCTGTTTCTTGCTCACTGCCATGCATAGTCTAGTTGTTTCTTGAAGCCATTAACTGCCACCATCTTCCTACAATCACTGATGCAAGTGCAGCAAGGTCCCACAATCCAACAACAACTGCTACTATAGATAAAATGAGGCGACACATTGATACATCCAGCGCCATGTAAACCACCTACTTTTATGCGCCATATGTCAGATCAATAGAAATGTGTCTGTTTGCTTTCTGCTTTCTGCTTTCCGCAAGCCTAAGTCTCTGCTTCAGCTAACCTGTTTCAACCAATGCAACTAGACTACTGAGTAACTACTGTTGGTTACAAGTTGGAAGCGTTCGTCCTTTGCATACCTTGAATTTCTCCTGCGCTGTTTGGTGATCATTCCTCATTCGCATGGCATGTCTTAGCCAGACTGGCAGGGATTTTAGCGACCCTGTGGTTTTGTTTGGGTCTTTTGGGAACATAATGTTCTTGCACACGCTTGCTCACTTGCCGGGTGCCTGGCGTGGCAGACAGCAGCTTGAAAGGAATAATGTGATTCATGTACAGCATTCATTTGATCAAACATGGGCATTCCGCCGTATGCCCTCTAGGAATGGTGGGTAGTCATAGTTGTCTCTCTAAGGGATATGTATATATATAGTATATTACATATTGTATATATTATACATTGTATATATCATATTCTATATATATATATGTTTTCAAGATATACATATATATATATATATATATAATAAATTATATCATCACCATCGTGTTTGCTTGTTTCAGTATGCCTGGCAAACTCGACATGCAAGAATATGCAATCTGTAGCATGCCAGGCAGCGGTACGCATCGCAGGCTTCACAGCGCTGCTGCGAGGGTGGCTGGGACTGACGCCACATGAGCCGCAGCCTTGCGAGGCAGCATGACTCTGGCGATAAAATGTCTGCCGCAAACTGCCGCGGTCCAACCGACTGCCCGGCAGGACCCTTGAACAACAAAAGACCGCATCCTTTCAGACGTAGTCATGGCCCATGGCGGCAAAAAAACGCTGAATTGGACACAAAACCAGGATGCTCTGAGGCACTCCCTTACTTGAGCTTTGTAGTGCCAGCTCAATTGAAGTGTTAAGGATCAAGTTGAGTTGGCCGAGCCCTGCACACACCCCAGCGTGACTACCGAACATCTGCGATCATTGGTTCTGCGCGATGCAACACAGCAGGACTCAAGCCCAGCCTGACAGGATCAAACTCGTCCAAGAGCTCATTCGACAAGATGACCCCAACCTCAGGGAGCAGACTCTGGCAAAGAGTTTCTGGCATCGATGTCGCTCCCATTGATATCTTCCTTGCTCTTGAGCATTGCCACTGGCATCAAGAAGTCCAGCAACCCCTGTGCAAAGAGCAAACCAGGGCCTATTCTCCCCTGCCGGGCATGTTGCAACCCTTGTGAGGATGACGCAAGACGTGCATTTGGGACCCCATGAAACTTCACAATTCTGGACAGTTGCCGAGTCTAGGCTTAACAAACAGCAAGACCAAAACTGGTGAACCCCGTGTATATGACGATGGTCCCTGCAGATGACCGAGCACACAACACCCGCCACATACCATCCACGCGGCGCTGCGACCATCTGGGCCCTCCAGGTTCTTGCGCAGCGTATGCGCATGACGGCCATCCGCCGGCAGCACCCGAAGCTTTCCCAGGGAACTCAGCAAGCTCCGAAGCCAAGGAATCGAGGTGTCATGGGGAGCCCTCTCTTGACCGACCTATGATGATGGCCTTCCACCATACCAGGGGCAAGTGTCAAAGCAACAACGCCGGAAGAAACCGGATTGGCACACAGTCGGGTCAAGTCATCGACTCCGAGTAGCACAAACTCCGCTGCCGTGGAGTTCTGCGCCGCGCGCATGGCCTGCGAGCGCTCTGCAATGAAGTAGCCTGGGCGAACTGGGGAGCTCCGGCCCTACAAATGCAATTGGACTGGTGGCCCTGACATGCTACAGAAAAATGAGCCCCTACGGGCCTCAAACCAAAGAATCATGTGCCGCGGTTTTGCCAGTGCTGAGAACGGAATGCCGACATCTTTCCCAAGCGAGCGATCGCCAGGCAGCTGGACAGCGCCGAGAAGAACTCCGGGTGAGCATCCCCTTGGGACGCTGCGAACAGGCGAGTCGCTAGTCGCGCTGCGAAAGATGCAGTCAGAGCCATGCGAAAGGGAAAGTGACACTGTGATTTCTCGATCGGCGACAGGTTCGCCGGACATCACCACTGTTGCCGTTTTGCATAGGCTAATTTTTCCTCTTCCCTTCTCTTCCCAGCACATGTCCGAAACACGTGAACAACACAAGCAGATGTAGAATGAAACGTGGCACAGCGATCAAGGGCGCACAAGCATGCCTCATGTTCTCCGTAGTTTCAAGTGCCTCGAGCAGGCGCAGCTTGGAAAGAGCCTGGCAGTCAAGCCACGTGCGTGCGCCAAGATGTCTCTGGCGAGCATGCCGGTGCCGCCGCCGAACTCCATGATGACAAACCTCAGTTTTGAGCTGCATGAAGGCTCCAATGAACCCAAGCCCGCGGCAGCCTAAATGAAGGTCCCGCTCAAAACTGTTGCATATCAAGTGGCCTCAAACACATGGGTCAAACTGCGTTGGTGTGACCGACTGACAAGCAGCGGATGGGGCTTCCCCATTGCCACCCACATTGAGACGACGCGGTCGCAAAGGGCTTGTGCAAAGTAGGGACTGAGCGACATCGGCAAAGTGGTGTAGGAGTTGAACCACCTGATCAGCCAAAACGGAAGCAGCTACAAACCTACAAACCTTGTAATATGAAGTGCAACCCCTTTACAAATCTGCATGGACAACTTCAGCTGGCCCCCATGGGTACAAGAACACATGCCCCCTCCAAGGGCAACTGTTGGGTGTCAGCAATGCCGCTCAAATGCGCATTTCAAGCTGAAGACAACGGTGCGTGCGAATAAGATCGCTGCGCTGCTTTTCGCACACTGCGGCAACCCTCGGCAAACACCTCTGCGCGAAGGAAGTCCGCGTGAAACTGGCTGGACTTGAGACTTTACCCACAAGCTCTTGTCACTGAACAATGTGCATGCCCTCTAAAAAAAAGTACAATATCTCGTCAACATGCCATGATGCCATGTGATGCTCAAGGCCGGATGCGGTAGTTGTAGGCTGTAGGGCAGAAACGCTTTTGGAGGCACACGGCATGCGAATTTGGCTGTCAATGATTGCACAGAAGAGGTGAACAAACGGCGTGGATTTATAAACCTACCATCAATCCACAAACCTGCCTCCTTCATCTCCCTCTTTCTGGTTCCGAGTCGCTCCTGTCCACCACCCTCTTGTTGGTGGAGGATGCGGCCAGTGGAGTAGTAGCCGAAGTCGGGGCCATACCTGAAGGGTCACGATGAATGTTCAATCCAGTCTCAATGCATGGGACCATCGTCACACGCGCTGCCACACCTCATGACATGGCAAGAAAAGCGGAAGTGCGGAAGCGGTATCAAAATGGGCAGAGGTCAAGGCCGCAACATGGCTCGTTGCGTCGAGGAGCTGAGCATCCGTGTAAAAGTCCTGGAAGGAATAGATCTGGGAGATCAAGTGGTGGGAGTTCCAGGCCCTGTGGCGGTGCGCAGTGAAGGATGAAAGGGATGAACGAAAGGCAAAAAAGGCATCGAAAACGTCAAGGCGTGCTCGGCTTTGGGCCTCCTCTAGTCTAGGTCAGTTCTTCGAGCGCCATATGGCTGGCAGGAGGGAATTCCAAACTTTATGACGTACACCGAAACCATCTGTCAGGAAATGTCTGACCCAGCCCGGACCGGTGCGGTGCTCCCCTCCATCCTGGCGATAGACTTGTAAAACCACCCCTGCACATATGCTCGCCTCACAGGCAGGAACAGAGCGAAGAGGCCTCAGCATGCGCTGTGCAACATCCCAAGCCCGCGTTCCCATCAATTCACATGGAACCTGACAGGGTCCTGAAGATCATATTTCTTTCAAACAAACCTCCTGCCAGGTTCCACGTTCATTGGTGGGGAAACTCCGTGTGATGTCCGCGGCGATGCGGCGACTCCTTGGACCAGATCCCATCGCGGCCAAAACTCCGCAGTCCAAGCGCCGGGCGCAGGCCGAAGGCCATTGCGCTCTCCGCATGGCGCGCAGGCGCGCGCCGCCAAGGCGCGCCCGGTATCCCATATGTTGCCCCCGGTGCTCAGCTGGTGTGGAGGTTTCAGGTGAGAAATTTGAAGATTAGTGGCTCTCCAACACTGTCAAAAAGCTCTTTTTCATCCAGGGCTGCGGTGCTTCAACGCAAAAGCTCGTGATGCTGCAATGATCGAAGTGATGCATGCTGTTCATAGTAGCAGCGTGTTGGACAGGCATCCAAGAGTCCTGCGTCCGGAGTGTTGGGCCCTTTCGCTTCATTCTCCCGTGGTAGCAGCTTCGGCCGCAGGCAAGAAATGTTCACAAGCCTTCTGACGAGGTTGGGAACATTGGAACAAAGACACCTCATCGACTCGTCAATGAGCATGGCTTTCTCTCGCAAACATCGCCGGCCTCTCGCTTTCCACCTGGCCGAGAACCGAGAACCAAACACCCCACAGATTGCGCCAAGGCGGGATCTTCATCCCTGCAACCTCCCCAGACGAACCCCCTACTTCCGTTGCATGGTCTGCTTGCCGTTTGTGAGTGGGCGCGCTGGAGATGCGGGACAACCATCCCACAATTTATGCATAGTGTGCTGTGGTCCCTGTCCTTTGGACAACTGCAGCCGTGCTTTCCATGGAACCACCCATTCCGGGCAAAAGCTTTCAACAGTTCATCTTGCCGGCCGTTGCCAGAACCTGTCTTGACCATCGAGCACGTCTGCATCATGCAGCTATCTCTCAGAGCGCAGGCCGATTTTCTCTAGTCTCCCTCTTGGAGGCTCACACTTTGATCCTGCAGCCAGGCGACCAGGCTTTTGCAAGCCGCATGCCGGTGCAAGTCGGCAAGCAGGAACGCGGGCGCTAAACGTATCGTTCAGCAACACCCGTCATCGAGTACCAACTTCTCATCCAGCTTGCTTTGGCTGTCTTGGACCTCTGAAATGTGTCAACCTTGTTTGCTTGGCTGGGGGTTGTGTGGTCGATGTTCATCACGCTGACTTCATTCAACACTCTGCCTGACACTTTGACCATGTCCAATCAAAAGCCTAGCCCTCGGCTTGAGCGAGCCGGCTGGGTGACCCTAGCCCGAAATCTCAGATTCGTCCGAGATGGCGACGCAGCGATACTTGGACGCCACGATGTCCACGAGCTTCTGGTTGCCGAAAGCCTCCGGACGCAGCGCGTCTAAGCGTCAGAAACAGGCCAAGGCCGTGCCCGCAATCCAAAGCAGGGAAATCAATCCATGATGAACTCCTCTCTCTGCTCTCATTGCAGGGCTAACGCGGTCATGAGTCATGACTGAAACGTTCTTGATGATCGAGTTTGGCTTTGTGACCTTCTCAATGCCCACTTTTGCCAGATCAGAAATGCACTTCACGCGCACCTCAACTGCTCTCGCTCCCCCTACCTCGCTCACGGGCGTGGGCTCCACCAGGTTAGTGGCCGTCTGCAGCACGAGGCAGCCGCTACCCTTGGCGCCCCAGGTGAAAAGCTTGCCGCTGGCTGTGAGCGCAAAGCTGAATTTGTCACCTGCAGCTGCCCAAATGTCAAACAGCGTGAGTTGAAGCTCTTGCAAATGACCTCCCGTAGCCATAGCCTTCGGGAATGGCCATCAAAACACAAGGAACTGGTGTGTCAACCCCATCCTCCGAGGAAGGCTGACCGCTGCTGCAAAGCAAAAAAAAAACGAAGCGCCTGCCGCAACCCTCACGATGCTGTTGAAATCCTCCGCATTGAGCAGACAGGCTCTGCAAAAATTTCAGCAAAACCTCTTGAGATGCTCAGCTGAATGTGAATTACGACTGGGCCAGTCCTCGTCCTCCACCTGTGGTGGCGAAACCCTGTGCGGTTCCAGCCAGCTTCTGTCGCCCCACTCGAACAAAGCGCCCTCCGACGTCAGGGCCACCACGTGGTGCTCGCCGCAGGCAAAGTCCACCACCCGGTGGCCCTCCGAGGGCAAACTCCGCACCAGGCGGGGGAAGCGCTCCGCAGAGTACATGTCTCCCATCGCCTGGCGCAAAGGCTGGCGGACCCCAGTGCCTGGTGCCTCTGCCTCGCAACCCATGGAAAAAACAGGCGTCAGGACTCGACCCGTCAACCCGTCGACCCCTCCCTCCTCCTCTCCCAGGCCCAGCTGGCCATAGTCGTTGCGGCCCCACACCCACAGCTCCCCCTGCTCGGACATGGCCGCAGAGAAGTTCTCGCCCGCGCCAATCTTGCAGATGCGCGCCACTTCACCTGACTTCCGGAAGCCGCACTTTTCACCAGCGGTTTCGTATGATTTCTTACCGGCCTGGCTTGAGGATGGAGTCATCCGTGTGCTCAAAGTAATCGATCTCCTGGAACTCCAGCTCGTCGTTGGTATCTCCGCGGCCCAGGCGCCCAAAGTCGCCCTTGCCCGTGGCAAAGAGCCGCCTGTCCTCTGTCAGCACAACCGTATGCTGGGCCTCAGCTCCGGGACCCGTTGCCTTTCGCCATGGCCACGGAACAGGAAGTGTCCAGCCCAAAACGCTTCAGCCGGCTTCCCGTTGCTCAAAAGCAGCCCAGCCGAGCCACGCCACAGGCAACGTTGCGGACTTTCTGCTCCTGCCTTGGCTTGTCGATGCAAGGCTTCTCTTTACCTGTTGTATTCTTCACGCTTTGACCTTTTGACATGCTATGGTCTCAGCGCACAAGTTCTTTCCTACCCAGAATTGAATCCCTGGCCTCCAACAAAAACCCAAAACAGCAGTACATGCTGCCACGCCGATACCCCATGGTTCAACCAGCACATCGCCCCGTTCAACGTTTTTATCCGGATCCGGACGAGGCGCTGCTCAAAGAAGTCCACCTTCTGGGGCAAGGCGCAGCTGTTCCGATGGCCCAAGCCCAGGGCCCCAGCGCCGTAGAGGAAGCTCCCGCCCCAGCCCCAGGTGTAGAGGACCCCATCGTTGGTCACCTCACGTGCAAGGAGTCCAGGTCCCGCGCTAACACTGATAGCCCAATGCAGCTGATCTAGGGTCAGCCAAGCACATGCCCTCCGACCCAGGCCAACGCACCAGAACTTGCCAAGACACACAGGCGGTGTGGAAGGCACCCAGCGCCACCTGCATCGGAAATGCAACGGCTTTGCAGGGCACCGCTAGCCTTGCAAGCTTGACAAACTGAAGATCACCTGCCGTTGGCCAGCGTTTGTTCAAGGATACGCTGTGTTCGTTAAAGCTTGCTTTGGAGACTACCCGGAACACCGTTCCGAGGGAGCCTTCCACGAGACATGGACCACAAGTCAGCACGCATCCTCACAAAAAGCGTCCCAGGAGAAAAAACCTTTCCAGTGGGCCGTCGGGCGTCGGCCCCCATTCCGTGCCTCGCGAGGCCCTTCCAGCTCCACCGTGCCAACCGTCTCCGTGCTGCTGCGGCCCAGCTGGCTGTACTTGTTGGAGCCCCAGGTGTAAAGGACTTGGCTGACATCTCTCCGCACTCGGGCAAATTCGAACCATCTGACACTCGACGAATCAGCCGGTTGAGTTGGGACTGTTGCGTTCCATGTATCTCCTTGACGCATCCTCGAAGTGAGTTTAGTAGGTTTCTGTGGGATGGACTGCGCGCTTTGTGCCAAGGACTTCGAATCCTGGACCCTGCAGGTCTAAAGCTTCAGGTACACTGTTTTCTCGCAAGCCCAGCGGCCCACCCGCCCACCCGCCCAGCCCCCACCCCTGGATGGCAAGTATCGATCGCCCGCCACTACGGCAGAGTGATTAGATCCACATGCTGCCTGCGTGACGCCCTTCACATGCTCAATCCTCGGCTTGTGCAAGAGACACGCCCAAGGAATCCTCATGCCCAATTCTAGGCTCTGCCACTCACGAGCCGGGCACCACATGGAAAGAACGAAGGGGCTAGGCCGCACTCTCGCACTCTCGGAACTGGCGCAGCCCCGTCCAGCCGTGACCAAACCCACCCACTCCAAACTCCAAGCTCCTGCACACGTCCAGAAGCCCCACGGCCCGAAACCCCCAGCCCCAAGGAGCCCCCTGCACCCCAGTCCCGGGCGCAGTGTTGGCGTGGTAGAGATCTCGGGCGCTTCCACCTGCAAAGGTGAGTTGGGACCCCCAATGTTGGCAAATGCCTGGCAAAGCTGCCATACAAAAAACTCCTTGGAAGAGTTGGGAGGATTGAAGGCATGGAGAAAACCAGCAAACTAACCAAACCGGAGCATCCTTGCACCCTTTCCGGCTGTCCCTCGCCTGGTTCAGCAGGCCCCCCTCTGTGGCACCCCACCGCCACGCGCGGCTGAAGCCACCCTGCAAGCCAGGTTGAGTTGGCACTTTATGCTGGCCGGATTGTCCAGCGGGCCTGAACGCACTTCCTACGCGCCCATGATTGTACGCATTATTGGCCTTGGTTCAAGCAGGCAGTCGGCGATCGTGTTGTGCTGAAAGGCCACTTGCATCAACAAACAAAGCCTTGCCATCTTGCCGTTTCGTCCTGCCCGCAAGCCCGCTAAATCTTACAAACGCAGAGCAACCCACTCCTCGCGCGTTTGAGAAGGCAAACGTGCAAAGGCGCCGGTTCATTTGCCCCATTCCCAGCCTTGAGGACCAGGGCACGCCTCATGGCGCCCACCAAGTCTAGCCAAAGCTCGTGCCAAACGGCGAGTCAGGGTGATCAGCCGACTGTTCAGAAGCCTAGACTTCGAGAGGCAAACCCTTGGACTGCGCAGACTGGCCAGAAACATAACCCTCTTGCATTCTTACATCCTGTTTGCTCCGCAGCAGCACCGGAATGGAGAAGAATTCTCGAAAGGACTTCGTAGTGCGCCAAGCCTAGGAGCCGGGGCCGAAGCTTTGCAGTATCAATGTCCCCGTGCATGGCTTGCTCGGTGCTGGAAAAAGCGCAGAGGGTTACGACCGGTACGCCGGCACCGGTAACCCAGGCACAGACACGTGAAGCCCTGACTGCTCGTGGGTCTTCACTGGTCTGGCCATAGGGCTGTCAATGGAAGAGTGGCCCGCAGGGTGACGTGCTTGGGCAGGCTTGTTAGCAGTGCACAAGCTCAATGCATGAAGCTTGGAGCACGTCAAGCCTTCCCAAAAAAACTTGGAGCTATCCAACAATGGCCGTGTGGCCAGCGACAGCGGAAGCTGCTTCAGTGCAAACAGTTGAAAGGACTCGGGGCCAGTTCCTTCTGGCGCCAGACCCACCGACATATGGGTTCGTCTCAGGATGAGCTTCAAAACGGCGGCTGTGTTTTCCGCTTCCCTTCAAACCAAAGCATACCTTCAAAACAAGACGCGCCCACATGTGCTTCCGGGGACTCGTGTCCGTGCAGTCCCGGCCCCTTCAAAAGCCATTGGTCCTGCGGTCGCATCGCGGCTTTGCCAGGCTCGCGCCCTAACGGAGGCCCAATGGGCTGCCACAATTTCTCGCCAAAAAAATCCAAC